TTTAGTAAATCAGTCTGAAAACAAGATGATTATTCTTACACAATCAGTTCTTGTTTAGTAAATCAGTCTGAAAACAAGATCAAAAAGACTTTTTGGCTGATGTAAGATTTTAAAACTTGGTCAGATGGACAGTTTTTGCAGTGTGTTTATAATTACTGTAAATGTGGTTTTTGGAGGGTGGGTTTGTCCAAGACCTGTCTGGTTCAAAGTTTTTCAGTTTTAGGAGGTCATTCTGTTTCAGCTAATAAACAAATGTAATCAGAAAAGTACACAAAGACTAAAATAGCTTCTGCAACACATGTGCTGGTATGACAAACATTCCTGTTGCTTTCTGTACATGAGCCACACTTTAGGAATTCACACTCGTGCAGGACGTCTTATCTAATGAGATAAACCTACAAGAAAGGACCGTTGCATGAAAACATGTCCCTAAATAAAAACAACTCTGTCAGTCTGACGTAGCCTCCTGTGTTTAGCAGCCTCACTGTTTGTGATTCATCTCGTCTGTGTGTGAGGACAGAAACCTGCTAAAAAACCCCGGACACCTGTCCCCTGGACCCCACTCAGAGGAGTTCCACTCCTGTGTGTCTGTCAGCAGCAGGAATGTTGGAATCAAGCTTCCCGGTGTCACGTTGACGCCGTGTGGCATCACTTCCTCTGCTTCCCTATTTAAAGGCCGGTGTGGAGCCAGGGAGGCTTCAGGATGGGATTAAACTCTTCACCGGTGGCTCACCCACTGACCCGTCGGATCTGGAAGGCTCCGGATGTTTCTGTTCCGTCGAGGTTTTTAAAGCTGAACGTTGGTGAGATTGTTGGAAGATCTGAGAAAAAATCTTTGTTTTTTTAATTCTTTGGTTTTACATTTTTGGTCACATCGAGGTAACTTCGCATTGTTGTCATTTTCTGGCTTTTGTCATAAAAATCATCACATCATCTGCGTATCGAAGTTTCTCAGGATCGGTACAAATTTGACTTTTATTTGAAAGAATTACCGCATGAGAAAAAAACTTTTTTTGGAAAGCAGCTCCACGGCAAAGCTTCACCATGAGTAACGGTGGGATCGCCACAGTTTCACCACAGGAGCCGCAGGCATTCAAACGAGCTGTACGGAAGGTAAAATGTGCTGCCATGGTGGCAAATTTGGCCAAAAGTTGGCAGGGTTGGGCCAAGGAGCACGCGGACAAGCAAGATGCTATCCCGAGTGGCTGGATGCCTTCGTCTGTCGAGGAGGAAGACAGGAAAGAACGAAACCACGTGGTCAAACTGAGTGTTACTCCACGAGTGATCCCAGCAGATCCCAGTGATGCCAACGAAAACAAAATCCGCACGTGCTCCGTGACAAAGACCATCCAGCTGAAACGCAGCGAGTGCAGCAGTGGTAATCTGATGAGCGCCATCCGGGACAAGATGGAGTCTGCTCCGGAGGAGAGCAAGCCATTTTTAGGCAACGAGTCGCCGACACGCCGCCGCCATATGAGGGCGCTACAGAGCGCGGCAGGAGGAGGAGGGGGGATCATCCAAGACAAAAAACTGAAGCTGCAGGAGAAGAAGCTGAGCTCCAGGAGCAGCAGCTTAGATGCAGAGGATAGCGGGATCGGAGAGGATGGAGGGCTCAGTGATAACGGTGAACCAAAGGTCGAACAAAGTGACCCCAAGTCCAAAACAAAGACCAGCAGGCCCAAGGTAGAGTGACTCATCACACACAGGAACAACCTTTTTAATTCAATTATACACTAAAATAACTTGAAAGGATTTCATTTAACTTTAATCTGTAGCTAAACACATATTTTAACAACAGATAATTAGATATAAGTTGGCACTGACATTTAATCTTCTGCTTTATTAACTTTTTCAGCACAGATTCTGTCTATAGCTGTGTTTCCATTGACCATGAAAATGCGCAAATTAGAATTTCGAAAATAAATTTGCTCAATGGAAACACGTCAATTTCGAAAAAAGTTACGTTTTTCGACAAAATGTTGTTGCACTAGGATGAGGTGGTTTTTTGGCCGTATCGAAATAGGTGTTTTTTGCAAAACTGCAATGGAAACACTTTTTTCACATCACAGGAGTCACGTGATCAACAACCGGCTGTTTCTACTGGTGAAAAATATGATGACGAAGTAAAAAACAGGAAGCAGAAGTAGTAGTAATATCACAGAAGTAGTATAAAGTAGTAAACTCACCGACTACAATTTCCCAAAAACACAGCATACGTAGCCKCTCCCAAGTAGGGACTTGTCTCTGGAAAGCCTCGATAAAAGACGCCGACGTCTCCTCTGATGATGAGCGCTAGTGTCGTGGTAGCAACATGCTATGTGTTTACATCCATCGCTGCCATGTTTGTAATGACTTATCACGAGCACAAATGTTTTCATGCGTGACTTTAATAGCATTTCTTACTTAATGGAAACACTGCAGTTGCGAAACTGTGTTTTTCGACATTAACAGAATATCAAGTTTTGCGCACATTTGCAATGGAAACACAGCTAATGTTTCAGGTTTAGTTAGATAAACACTACGGTTGTATTCACACCTGACACATTTGGTCCACTTTCAATGGACCAGAGTTCGTTTCCAGTGTTAGTCCGGACATTTTGTACAGGTGTGAATACGCAAACTCTGGTGCGGATCAAACAACTGGACCAAGACCCACATTTTGAGGTTGTCTCAAAAAGCAAAATGGTGCGGTTCACTTCAGTTCGCTTCTGGTGTGATTACAGACCGGACTCGAACCGAACCAACTACATAAAACATGCACCTTTTTGGACTTGCTAAGCTAAATAAACCGAAATCATACCTAATTTGTTGTCTCCTGCTTAGCAGTTCTACCAGCATATTGTGGGTCAGAACACGCAGAGCGTCTCGTCTTCTTTGGGTTGCGGGAAAAATTTACTGACGCCGCTCCAAAATTATAATATCATCACGAAATTACCGTATTTATTCAAGTATAATACGTAAAATTAAATCCATAAAATCATCCATAAAGTTTGGGGGTAGTACTATACTCGTATAAATATTTTTAATTATGTATTTTAACTGATAAAACTTCCAAAGGCCTGAAAGCAATGTCTATAAACTTAGGGCTTAGACAGTTAATTAAAGTACCAACAAGATTTGTCAAGACATGCAATTCCATTTTGGATCTTATTTTCACAAATCGATCCTCCATATATGGCATATCTGGAGTTATAAATACTTCAATCTCAGATCATTCACTTATTTATGTCTTAGAAAAAACCTTAAGAAACCTACAGGTCATGTGCATAATTTCATTAAAAGGATTCCAAAATCAAAGTTACCCATGTTTCATGATT